AATAATTTTATTTTAAAGTTCTGAAAAAATAATTGAATTTTGAAAGAATTACAGTTGCAATTTTTAGATACCTATAATTAAATTTCAAAATGTTTTTAATTATTTGAAATTGTAATTCCTGCGAAAAAATAGATAAGAATAAGTTTTAAAATTTTTGAACTTTTGAATAATTTAATTTAGAAATTCCGAAAAAATTTTCTTCTTGAAAAAGTGTAATTAAAATTTTTTAAAAATAATTTTATTTCCAAAAATAATTTTAAATAATTGAAACAATTGAAAATTTTGTCAAATTTCATTGAAATTTTATATTTTAATGAATTTTTTTTCTTTTCATTTAGAAATAATATTAAATGTAATCTTATTATCAGGATTGTTCCAGTGGTACTCTCGAAAATTCAATTATTTTATCAAAAATATGTTACATTCAAGTTGTTTTTAGAACTATCTAGGCGATTTCTACAAGAGTTCGAATAATATTTAACTTTTTCTTCAATTTAAAGAAAAACTGTTAGAGAAATTATATTTTTTAAAAAATAAAGAATTTTCATTGAATTTCAAAAAGAAAATCTTTTAAAGTAACAACGGCAATGAAAATTTAAGAATGGCTAGTTAGAATTTAAAGTGGAAACGAAAGTGAAAATGAAAAGTTTTCAAAATTAAAGTTAAACTGAAAACGAAAGTGAAAATAAAAATTTATCAAAATGAAAGTTAAACTGAAAACAAATGTAAAGATAAAAATTTTTCAAATGGAGTTAAAAAGAAAGGCTATCAAAGTAAATGTAAAAATAAAAGACAAAGTAGAAACTAAACTAACTATAGTCGACAATTTACAGAATCTTTAATAGTTTAATAAAAAGCAATACAATCATACCTTTATCATGAACCGTCGACAAATGTGCAATAGATTCCTTTGGACTGGTAATATTTCGATAGATCGCTTTTTTTCCATAATAAGTCTCAAAGGAGTAAACTCTAAAATTATTAGTCACCACAAAAAAATCCATAATCCTTGGATAGTTCATCACCTTTTTAACAGAGGATTATTATTATGTTAACAATAATTGTAAAATTATTATTTTTTTAATAAAAATGTTGCCAATAGATCATACAAACTGTTACAAATTTACTGTAATTATTTTTTAATTTCAGAAGTGAATTTTGTTGTAAAATTATTATCTATCAATTTTTGGTAAATGGAAAAGATTTCTAAAAAAGTGCTTCCTGAAAATTCCATTCAAAGTTCTGATTCCCACTGGAGTTTTATCGGAACTCTAATGACGGAATTCAAAGGGAATCTTCAGAGACCACTTTTTGAGGAATCATTTTATGTAGGCAATACTTTGGAGAGTATGAAATAGTGCATATAGGTTGCAAGTCCTTCGGTAATCCAAACATCCTCCCACCAAGCTGGCGATACTATATTTCCAAACCATTGATGTGCTATTTCATGAACTATTATTGTAGATGTGGTGAATTTATCCATGTCCGTGGAATGATTGTAAGTTAGAAGATGATATTCCCTGAAAATAAAATTTTACTTCACATCCTGCATTCCCTAGGTTAAAAAAAGTCAGAATGAAATTGAAATTCTGTCTAATTGTAAGTAAAAATGAAAGTGAACATAAAGTACAATGATAATGAAATGAGTAAAAATGAAAGTACCTAAATGAAATTGAAAATCAAAATCTATCAAAGTGAAAGTAAAAATTATAAATTGATAATGAAAGTGAAAATAAAAGTGAAAAAAATTCTATCAAAATCAAAATGAAAGAGAAAATGAAAATCTATCAAAGTGAAAATCAAAGTAAATTATTATAACTCTTTTGTGCTTTTCGCTTAAAACTTCTTATTCAGGGGTTTCCATGATCGCTGATTACGAATCTAAAGTCAGATTTTCAAAATTTTTAAAATTCAAAATGGCGGACATTTTTTTTAAATAAAATAAAATAATTATAAATCATCATTTTCTTTGAAAAATAATGATAAATTATTATTTTCTGCAAAACATTACAAGGTCCCATTCTGATTTTTACATGGCTCATAGGAAAAAAGGTAAGCTTTCCATTGGGAAAGGTTAGAAAAAAATAAAAAAAAAACGATTTTGAGATATATTGAAATTAAGAATTTGACCTTGAATTTCAAGGTCAAATTGAAAGAAAATAATTATTTTTTATTACCAGCTTGTAGCTCGTGAAAAACCCTTTAAAAATCACTATTCACATTTTGAATTTGATTAATTTTACTTATCAATATATTACATCGAAAAAACTCCAAAAATATTTTATCAAATTCAATAATGACGGTAAAAAATATTAAAATGATTGTATCTTTCATGCAACTGCCTATATATAATATAATGATTCTTTTTGTCCCCAATTCCGGATTAAATGTTCTTTGAAATATGAAATAATTTAAATTCTCTGAAAGGTGAAAATGTCAGTTGTAATAAATATTTACTTAATTTTTCAAGACCAACGTTTTTTCTTTGTAAAATTTTGTTGTATATTGTAAAGAAAAACAAACAATAATTTTAATACTCTTTAAAACGCGGGACCCCGATAAATTCTGTTGGAAAATAATTGTTAGACTTCTAGAAAGTAACAGAAAAAAATCGAGAGGAAAAAAAACGCTGGTGTTTTTGATTAGAGTGGTATTTTAATAGTATGTGATATCAATAACATACATTACGATAATTAATCCCCAATTTTCCATAGCGCCAAATGAAAGTCCAGGTACGCCAATAACGTCCATTTTCGGCATATTGTATCCAATTCCCGTGTATTCTTCTAAAATGGGAAAAGTCTTCATTCCTATTTCATAGGAATGTGATAAATATTGTAATGTCTCTTTATGAGACCAAAGAGAAAAATTTCCATAAGAATTGGAAACATTTTCAAAATTCGAAATTGTAAATGACACCAAATATGACGAGATTTGAGGTGTTCTTTCAAATGTTGACCACACCATCCCATCAATATCCGTGTCTTTAACAATTTCTTTAATTGGCATATTCGATAATGCTGTATAATTTGCCAAATGTTTAATCGAAATATCAAATGTTGCCTTTATTGCCGGCTCATCCCAACAGGGAAATGCCAGTCTTGCAAATGTCGTTTCAAACTGTGTCGCCGCCAACAAACTGAAATATTTTTTAAAAAAAATTTTTTATTATACAAAATTTCGAAAGAAACAAATTTTGCAAAATTTAAATTATTTTTAAAATTAACTTACATTTGTTTATTATTGTCATCAACATAATAGTCCCTGAAGAATCCCATTGGTTTGCTATTTAATTCTCCTTCATATTTTAAATAAAGAAAGTAGAGACCCGGTTCGATGTGTTCGTGAAAATTAAGAATCAAAAATTCTGATTCATCGTCCAAAATGTGTCGACTAGGTTTAAAAACTTCATCGCCAATTAATTTTGTACTTTCCTCGTAATATTGGAGTTTTAGAGAATTTAACGTTATATTAATAGTGGGTTTAAAAACTTCGAGAAAAATTTTCGATTCTCCATCAAATGATAAGTCTTCTGTTGTCATGTGTGGCATTAATTGTATCTGATAACGATATGGCAACGAATCGTTTGGTAGTCGATAATTATTAATTGACTGATAAGAAAAGGGCACAAGAATAAGGACTAAAATTAAACTGTAGCACCACATCCTAAATAAATTTACAAATAAAAAAAGATATTTATTTGATGAAGGAAAATAATGAGAAAATAATATTTTTTTATCTAAAATCTGAAAACAAACTAACCTGAATAGTTCCGACTTCATCCTATTAATTATAATTAGAAAAGTGATTGAAAATAAGTAAAGAATTTTGACTGAACGATTCAATTCCGTATTGAGATATTTAAATAGGAAAATTCATATCAAGTGCTTCCTTTTCATTTTACAATCAATAGATTCTAGTTTACAGGCGATAAAAAGTTAACTTGGTTACATTGTGGGAATAGATTATTAATCATAAGGGAAGTAGCAATAGTGAAATCAAGTTGAAGGATGTTTATAGATTGAAACACAAATATAAATTTCACATTGATATTTTCATTGGTTCTCTCATATTATTTGAAATTTTATTAAGAGATTTTTGTATAAAGAATCATTTTTAGAATATTGTATTACTTCATCATAAAAATATTATTTTATTCGAAAATTTTTTAATTTATATTTTTCCTTATATTAGGAAGGTAGACTTATAGAAACTTTTCAAATTTTCACATAAGGAAATAATTACTTATAAATAATCTGTAAAAAATATATTGAAAGTGATTGAATATAGGGTAAACCAGATAGTAGTCGGTTTTTGAAAGCTTTTTTGAGTGGCGGATTACTGTCGATTTAGGTAACCGATTACTTTTGCATTCTTATTTGCTTTTTTAATGAATAAAAACTTTTTTTTCATAAACATGATTGGTTTAATAGCTTTGTGAGACTATAAGGAACAATCACACGTGGTAGGAATTTTAAAGAAATATTAATTGCAATTTTTAAACAGTATTCATTAAAAAGATTTTCTTAAGTGGCCAACAACTGTCTGGTTTACCCTACTTGTGGTCATGGATTGCTTGATTTTCGCAGTGGTACATATTAGTTTGTAGTATGGGAATCGGTCATTGGCCTTATTAAAAATTTTTAATAAAAAAACAATAAATTTAACATAATTGAAGAATTTTTATTTTCTTTATTTGTTTTCTAAATTGCCTGCAGTTTATAAAATGTAAAAATTTGTATTAAAAAGATCAAAAATACTTCATGAAAGTAAAAAATTTATTTTTTCCATTATTCAAGTGTCTTTGTACACCTGCAATTTGCAATGAGAAAAAAGGCTTTTTTAAATTATTAAATATTTAAAATTTAATGTCTATAAATCTTTTCGGCTGTTTGCACCTTATTTTATGATTAATTATAACTTAAAAACTTAATTTGAAAAGTGATAAAAAGTTAAAATGCAAAATGAAATTGTGAAAAATAAAAAATTAAAAGCAAAGCAAACTGTGAATAAATAAATTTTATTATACATAAACCAAGATTTTTTTTCATATTTATTCCCTTCAAGTGGATATGTCATGATCCACATGATACATTCACATGTCAATAAGATCGCAATATTTCCTTGAAATTTTACAAAACCATGAAATGGCAATATTTCGCTTTAGCCTTGTAAAAAAGTCATCGCCTGGTCTCACTTTCAATCCAGTTTGTTCAATCAGTGGTTGAATCAAACGTAAAATAAATTCCTAAAAAATTTTGAAATTAAAATTTTATGTAAAAGAGAATTATTATTTCTTTATTATTCTCGAACAGCAAATAATATTTCACCATTTTTACCTTATTTTCGGCAGTTCTTCCTTGAGTTCGAATGAGGTAGAAAAATATTGCTCCAGCTCTCTTCCATGGTATAAGATCATCTTCTCGAACTAAGTATGATGTTAAATTAAATAACAAATTTGGATCTAATTTACTATTCATTGTAAAGTAATAGGCATCGTCTAAAAGTTTAACACGATTTAGAACGTGAATATTCTTGAAATTTGGCGTATTCATATAATCTATTATTCTCTTCCAATTCTCCGTGTCGTAGTTCACTCTATAGAAACCTGGTAATTTTTTTAAGATTATAAATTATTGATAGTTTTTTTATTAAAAATTTTTTTTAATTTCTTAAAGTCTTTTTTAATTGTCCATAAAAGTATTTTGCTTTTCTCACTTTTTGCGTGCGCTGTTCGTCAAGAGTGGGAGAAAGACATTTCTTAGAAGTCGCTTCTCCCACTCTACACATTGTGCGCGCGCAACGAGCAAAGAGTGGGGGGAAGATATTTCCTAGAAATCGCTTCTCCCACTTTACACATTGTGCGCGCGCAACACGCAAAGAGTGGGGAAAGTCAAGCGGTCAAACTAACATTACCAATTATTTATCATACTTGTTAATATTATTTAAATAATATATTCTAAGAAAATAATTACCAACGCTCTTTTTATTAATAATGTACCAATCAAGAGAGTCTACTCCATCAATAATTAATTCATTTTCTTCAGGGCCTATCCAATAGGTGGCAGCGCTTGACGAAAAGTTTTGAAGTGACATTGTTGCCAAATTTATTGGAACCCACCATCTCTGTGATTCAAACTGTTTGCAATCGAAATATTTACAATCTTTTTCTATCGACGTCTGTATCAATTTTATTGCTCCACTTTCGTAATTTCTCTCAACATTAATTATGGGATAACCAGCTTGCGATATATAACAATCCAGACGTGATTTTATGTTAAAATTATTATATGGCAGTTTTGATTCTTCCATTGCTTCTTGCATTGAATTCCAAAAGTTGTCGGTTGTTATTGTTCCATATTTACTGAAATTAAAATTTTTTGTATTTAAATTACTTTAACTATTAGAATTATTATTAGTCAAAATTTTCATTTATTTGTACTTATAATGTAAGTAAATCAAAATTTTGACTGAAGAATAATTTATAGAATTAATCTCACTATGTTTGCAGCATCTTCTTAATTCCTGCATGAAACACTTCTTCTGACAATAGACCGCTTATCATGTGCATTATTGTTGCGGCTATAAAAGTAATTGAAAATTTTTTTTTGAAAAAATGGGGGTCAATTCATTTCTACTTCCACTTTGATAGATTTTTATTTTTACTTTCATTTTCACCTTTAATTTTACTTAGATTATTATTTTAACTTTCATTTTCATAGATTTTTGTTTTTAGTTATACTATTTAATTAAAGTTTTAGTGAAAGTGAGAATGAAAGTTAAAATGAAAGTAAAAATCTATCAAAGTGTGAAATTATTTAATGATAATCCAAATAATCTGTCTTCACGAGAAGATAATGTTTTTTGATTCCAATTTTTTGTTTTATAGTTCGAATTGTTTTGTCAAAAGTTTGACAGTTAATTTGTAAATAAGTATTTAATATTTAATTAAGAATTTAATTTATTTAATAATAAAATAAGTGAAGTAAGAAAATTTAACCCAAATTTAAAAAACTTCAAAAAGAGGAACAGTTGCAATTTTTAAAACTAATTAATTATTTTATCAATTATTTATGTTCGTATTTAAATAGATGAATTCACGTAGTTGAATTCTAACATGAATTGATTTTAAAAAAATTTCAGTTAAAATTTTAGAAAATAATTAAATATTTAAATCCCTATAAGAGAGGTTTCAGGAATTAATTAAATTTTAAAATATTTTTAAATTAAATTCTTTTGAAAATTTAAAGGAAGTTGTTGTTAGAATCATCTTGGTGATTTCTACACGAGTCGTTCAAATAATTTCAAATTTTTTCTTAACTTTAAAGAAAAACTGTTATAACAGTTTTTTGAAAAGTATCAAATTGATAGTATATTGCAGATCAAATTGTAGCAACGTTTTGATACTGTATAATGTATCAAGTTGATACGAATATAAGTATCGTTTTTAAGAATGATAGTCAATACAGTATCATTTTTTAATACGTGTATTTGTATCAATGTAAGGGTACGGTCCCATGTTGAGCAGAAAACACAATGCTTTGCATTCTGTTTTCTGCTCAGCATATGGGACTGCACCCTTACACTGTCATGGCCGGTTCGCATTAACTGGAAATTTAACTAATCAATTTATTTAGTTTTATATGCCTACTCTTTAAGTATTAAAAATTGTTTTATTTTACATATTAACAGTGAGAAATGTGAGAAATTATATAAAATGAGCACATTATTTAGAAAAAACTTGTATTGAAATACACTAACCTCAATTCACGTGGTTATGACATTTCGATTAAAGGTAACTTTACAATTTCTGGAGATTTTTGGCTCAAGGTATAGTGAAATATTTAAGGGTGCGTTCATTCCGTTTTTAATAGTAAGTATTTAGAATTTGATTATTACTATTGTTGATGAATTCGATGTTATTTAATATCAAATGGTAAATAATTATAATTTATGTTATATATGTATATAATAATAGTGGTTTTCGTTATTTAATGTTTAATAATTTTTTAAATATTTTACTATGTAGGTCGATATTTTTAGAAAAAATATCAGTAAAAGTGACAAAATATAGTTTCCAGTGAATATAGGGTGTTTTATAAATGGAATATTTAGTGAATAAAAAAAGGAAAAATTAGGAAAACTTATTATATTTGACAAAAGTAATCATTAAAGCATTTATTTATTACATATTTAGGGCAAATTAATGTTTACTTATTGAATAATTTATGTTTAAAGTTGGAGATGTCAGTTCTACTGTGAGATGTATGCATGTGTGTGTAAAGCGATAATAATATACTACTGATATATCGCCGCGCATTTGTCACGACAGATGGCGGGCCTAGCATTCGAACTGCTTTCTGTTTTATCACATTCCCCAGTAAAAAAAAAACTAATTCAAATGAATTGAAACGAATTAACATTTTTGGTAGGCTCCAATTCGTATTTGTCACAAAGCGGGATTCACTCAAGCTCTTTGTATATTCAATTGAATTTAATTCAATATGTACTAATTTGTCCAAACGAATTCGCATTCGAAAGAAATGGCCAAGGAATGCATTGAATTCGTGCTAACGAATTGAAAAAAATTAAAGGCTCAAAACTTGTCCAGTGAATTGGTACGGATAGAAGGTTCGGAAGTTCAATACAGTTTCACGAATTCAGGAAAATTGCAACATAGCTCCAATTCGGATTTGTCACAAAGCGGGATTCACGAAAGCTCCTTGTGAATTCTTTTTAATTCATTTCAATTAGTTTTCGTTTACTGGGTCAAAACAAGAAATAGGAAAACCAACTTTTCAAGATGAATGTTATTTAAATCAATTGTAGAAATTGATATTGAAATTAACCTTTTTTTAATTTAATCGTTTACAAAGACAATTATTAGTATATTTAATAAAATATGATAAATAAAAACGCAGAAATAAATGAATAATTATACTAAGAAAGATAAAATAGGCAATTTTTTCCCGTTTTTTTAAAGTTATTAGAAAATCTACTTTTTAGACCAATTAAAATAAGATTCTAACTCCTCCTACTTGAAAGCAATTTTTTTATTCGTTGGTTCAATATTACAAAAAGGGAGTGAATATTTAATTTTTAAAAAGTTACATTTGGTCTTGACCCATTAAGAAAAAAAGACTTCTGGCCAATAAAAATAAACTCCTCCTATTTTCAAAATGCAATTTTTTATTTGTTACTTGAGTAAAACAAAATGGAAAAAATAATTAATATTTAAAAAATAAAACATATAATACCAACCCCCAAAGAAAAAATAAATGATTTAGACCAATAAGAATTATAAACAAATTCCTCCCATTTTCAAAATCAATTTTTCTATTTGTTGGTTGAGTTAAACAAAATGGAAAAAAAATTAATATTTAAAAAATAAATGATATTATTCCAATCGCCAAAAGGAAAAATGGATGATTTAGACCAATTAAATAAAATTTAAACTCCTCCTTCTTAAAAAAACCTTTTTTATTTGTTGCTTCAATAGAACAAAATGGAGAAAATATTAATATTTAAAAATATAAAGTTTAGTCCCAACCCCTAAAAGATAAAATGGATGTTTAAGACCAATTAAATTAACATTTAAACTCCTCCCTCTTAATAAAAGCTTTTTTTTATTCGTGGGTTCAATAGAACAAAATGGAGAAAATATTAAACTTCAAAAAATATAAAATTAAGTCTCAAACCCTCAGAAAAAAATGACTGCTATTAGCCAATAAAAAAAGATTCAAACTCCTCCTATTTTCAAAATCAACTTTTCTATTACACTGAAAAAAAAAGTTCATTGAATGAAGTAAATGCATTTTCTTGACCTGATTTACTTGAAACAAACCCATATTTTCTTATTGGAAGAAATTTATTTTCTTGTGTCAAGTAATTTTGAGCATTGATCAAAGTTATTGGAATAAGAAAATATGGGTTTGACATAAGTAAATATCTTACTGTTTCAAACGAACTGTTTTACATGCGCCAAGTCTCGAAAAAGTATTGAATCAAGAATATCATGTTCTCACGTCAAGTAATTTACCTTGAGTCATTTGGTATCTTGAGTCAAATAATTTTTTTATTTCCTTTAAAGCAACTATTTATTTCATCCAACACCCATAGTCTTGAGCCAAGAAAATGGGAAGATTAATACAAGTTAATAATTGTTTCAACTCAATTAAAAATTATTTTGTTTCAAAGAAATATTAATTAATCTAAGCATTTCTTTTACTTGAAGCATTTCTATATTCTCATGTTTCAAAATCATTAATTTCTTGCGAGAATGTTATATTTTCTGGAATGAAATATTTTATTTATTCAATTCAATTAAGTGTAAGATCTTAATATAAGTAAATATTTGTTTCAAGTCGATTAAAAATTATATTCAATTAATCCCATATTTATTTGAAGAAAGAAATTCATTTTCTTGTGTCAAGTAATTATTAGCATTGAACAGAATTCTTGAATTAAGAATGTAGTATTTGGCGGAACTAAATATGTAATTATTTCAACCAAATATTTTACTTTTCCGAAGTACCAAAAAGTATTGAATCTAGAATATATGTTCTTAAGCGAAATAATAAAGTATTGTCTGGAGAATTCATGTTTCTTGAATCGAATCATTTTATTTATTTGCTTTGAAACTTTTTTTTACTTAACACAATGCCGGTGTTCTTGATCCAAGAAAATATTTTTCTTCAAATGTATATGCAACTTAAATATCAGTTTTTGAAAACTGTCCATTGAGGCTAGGATGGCATAGTGGTAGCGTGACGGCTTCTGGTGCGTGCAACCCGAGTTCAATTCCTCCGACCGTGGAAAATTTTCTTTCAAGGTATATTTGTTGTATTTGTGTTAAGTAATAATTAAATGTAAATATATGTGTAAAATAATAATTATTTAATTATTTAAATAAAAAATATAAATGTTAATTAATTAAATAATAAAAATGTTTGACCTAAGTATTAGAAAAGATGGGATGGAGGTAAGGGGGGGGGGGTAATTTAAGTAAATAATTTACTTGTATTGAGAAAGTATTTTTTTGATTGAAAACTATAAATTTTCTCAAATCAAGAAAATATTTTCTCGGACAGAGAACATACTTTCTTGATTTGATACATAAATGATTTTGAATTAATATATTCTGCATTTCTTACATGCTACTTAATTTCTTGGTAGAATTCCATATTTTCTTGGATCAAGAATATCTGTTCTTCTCACAAAATAAATGTTTTCTTCATTTAATCTTGAATTACTTGAACGAACGTTACAAAACATTGAATGAATCGAATAAAATAATTCAATCATCTATATATATTCTTAGAACAAGAAAATATTTTATTCATTTAATACATTTTATATTTCGTATAAGAAGATTAACTTCTTGGTCGAATTCCATATTTTCTTGGATCAAGAATATATGTTCTTCTCCCAAATATCCTATGTCAAGAAAATCGTTTTCTTGAATCAATACTTTAATAGTCTTGGCCGTATTCAATCCCACGATTTGCTTCAACCAAGAAAAATTTTCTTGGTTCAATACTTTTTTTTTTTCTATTTGTTGGTTGAGTTAAACAAAATGGAGAAAAAATTAATATTTGAAAAATAAAACGTATAATTCCAACCTCCAAAAGAAAAATAAAGTCTACTGAACAATAAAAAATTAAATTAAAACTCCTCCTATTTTTTCGGAAAGGTTTGTGGTTAAATTTTATGTTTTTAAAATTATAAATATTCTTCCATATTTTCAACTGAACCAACAAATAAAAAATAGCTTTCTTTAAGAAGGAGGAGCTTAAATAATTTTTTTTGTTCTAAAACATCCATTTTTTCTTTTAGGGGGTTGGAATTATATGTTCTATTTCTTAAAATATTAATTTTTTCTCCATTTTGTTTAACTTAACCAACAAATAGAAAAGTTGATTTTGAAAATAAGAGGAGTTTAAGGCTATGTCCAAGTTGTGAAATGTAAACAATAGTAATAATCAAATTCTAAATACTTACTATTAAGAACGGAATGAGCGCACCCTTAAATATTTCACTATACCTTAAGCCAAAAATCTCCAGAAATTGTAAAGTTACCTTTAATCGAAATGTCATAACAACGTGAATTGAGGTTAGTGTATTTCAATACAAGTTTTTTCTAAATAATGTGCTCATTTTATATAATTTCTCACATTTCTCACTGTTAATATGTAAAATAAAACAATTTTTAATACTTAAGAGTATATAAAACTAAATAAATTGATTAGTTTCCCGGCCATGACAGTGTTACATTGATACAAATATGTACACGTATTAAAAAATGATACTGTATTGACTATCATTCTTAAAAAAGATACTAATATTCGTGTCAACTTGATACATTATACAGTATCAAAACGTTGCCAAATAAAATGATACTTTCCAGAAAACTGTGTAGATTCTTAAAATTTTTAGAAATTTTTTTAAAAATGTAGAATTTTTATTAAATTTTAAAAATAAAATCTTTTAAAGTAGCAACGACAATGCAAATTGAACAACGGCTACTTAAAAGTTAAAATGAAAACGAAAGTGAAAATAAAAATTTGTCAAAATAAAAGTTAAAGTGAAATCAACAGTTTAATAAAAAAACAACGTTTTTCTTACCTTTATCATGAACCGTCGACAAATGTTCAACAGATTCCTTTGGACTGCTAATATTTCGATAGATTGCTGTTGTTCCATAATGATTCTCCCAGGAGTAAACTCTATAATTATTAGTCACCACAAAAAAATCCATAATCCTTGGATAGTTCATCACCTTTTTAACAGAGGATTATTATTATGTTAACAATAATTGTAAAATTATTATTTTTTTAATAAAAATGTTGCCAATAGATCATACAAACTGTTACAAATTTACTGTAATTATTTTTTAATTTCAGAAGTGAATTTTGTTGTAAAATTATTATCTATCAATTTTTGGTAAATGGAAAAGATTTCTAAAAAAGTGCTTCCTGAAAATTCCATTCAAAGTTTGTAACGATTGTTAATTTCATGGGTGCGGATTAGCTCGTCGAACCAGAGTTCGTTAAAAATATAGGAAGTTAAATAAGTAGTGCAATTCGGGAATTTAAATTTGACTATGGTTTATTAAGTGATAAAAAGACGTGAAAAATACATATTGTACGGAAAACGAAAGATACGGAACGTGGACGTAAAATTACGGGCGAAAACTAATAAACAGCGTTCGAAAAACGGATTACGGTACATTACGGGCGACGATTACGACGAAAAACGTAGCGTGTGAAACACGTACTTTGAGAGGTTAATTCCATCTCATGGCGGTTATTCCGACCGTTGTCTCCGGGTAATACCTCGGAGAGAGAGAGTCTTGGTGGTGATTCCAACCATCTCCGGGTGATCCCTCAGAGAGTGACTCCAGGCGGTAATACCGGCCGTCGTCTCCGCTGGCTCGCTGCCGCGCGCCAGCTTATATACCTGTACGAGGTGCGGCGACGCGTGCGCACTTCGTAGAGGACGAACTACAGTGCCGTAACAAAAATATTTCACCCCTGCTCTTAAAATAAATTTCTAAATTCAAAATAAATACGGTGATCGTCACAAGTTCTGATTCCCACTGGAGTTTTATCGGAACTCTAATGACGGAATTCAAAGGGAATCTTCAGAGACCACTTTTTGAGGAATCATTTTATGTAGGCAATACTTTGGAGAGTATGAAATAGTGCATATAGGTTGCAAGTCCTTCGGTAATCCAAACATCCTCCCACCAAGCTGGCGATACTATATTTCCAAACCATTGATGTGCTATTTCATGAACCATTATTGTAGATGTGGTGAATTTTTCGGCGTCTGTAGTATGATTGTAAGTCAGAAGATGATATTCCCTGAAAATAAAATTTTATTTCACACTTTAGATTCGTAAATAGCGTCATTAAAAACCCCCGAGTGACAAGTTTCAAGCGTATTTGAGCAATTTTAAAAAAAATCGGCCATTTAGGATCCGACATTTTGAATTTTGCAAATCTGACTTTAAATTCGTAATCAGTGACACCAAAAACTCTCGTGTAACAATCATCAACAAAAATTACTGTAATAAAATTAAATCACTAACATATAGAATTCAATTGGATTTCCGATTAGAATTTTGAAAAAATTATATTTGGAACGGAATTCCAAAGAAAATTACTAATAGCACTTATTTTTAGGGATTACAGTGGTTTATTAAACGTCGAACATCAATATCATACATTACGATAATTAGTCCCCAATTTTCCATGGCGCCAAATGAAAGTCCCGGTACGCCAATAACGTCCATTTTCGGCATATTGTATCCAATTCCCGTGTATTCTTCCAAAATAGGAAAAGTCTTAATTCCAATTTCATAGGAATGTGATAAATATTGTAATGTCTCTTTATGAGACCAAAGAGAAAAATTTCCATAAGAGTTGGAAACATTTTCAAAATTCGAAATTGTGAATGACACCAAATATGACGACATTTGAGGTGTTCTTTCAAATGTTGACCACACCATCCCATCAATATCCGTGTCTTTAACAATTTCTTTAATTGGCATATTCGATAATGCTGTATAATTTGCCAAATGTTTAATCGAAATATCAAATGTTGCCTTTATTGCCGGCTCATCCCAACAGGGAAATGCCAGTCTTGCAAATGTCGTTTCAAACTGTGTCGCCGCCAACAAACTGAAATATTTTTTTAAAAAAAATTTTTATTATGCAAAATTTCTAATGAAACTAGTTTTTTAATAAATTTAAATTATTCTTAAAATTAACTTACATTTGTTTATTATTGTCATCAACATAATAGTCCTTGAAGAATCCCATTGGTCTTCTATTTAATTCTCCTTTATATTTTAAATAAAGAAAGTAGAGACCCGGTTCGATGTGTTCGTGAAAATTAAGAATCAAAAATTCTGATTCATCGTCCAAAATGTGTCGACGAGGTTTAAAAACTTCATCGCCAATTAATTTTGTACTTTCCTCATGATATTTAAGTTTTAGAGAATTTAACGTTATATTAATAATAGGTTTGAAGACTTCGAGAAAAATTTTCGATTCTCCATCAAATGATAAGTCTTCTGTTGTCATGTGTGGCATTAATTGTATCTGATAACGATATGGCAACGAATCGTTTGGTAGTCGATAATTATTAACAGACTGATGGGAAAAGGGCACAAGAATAAGGACTAAAATTAAACTGTAGCACCACATCCTAAATAAATTTACAAATAAAAAAAGATATTTATTTGATGAAGGAAAAATGATGAGAAAATAAAATTTTTTTTTATCTAAAATCTGAAAACAAACTAACCTGAATAGTTTCGACTTCATCCTATTAAATATAATTAGAAAAATGATTGAAAATAAGTTAAGAATTTTGACTGAACGATTCAATTCCGTATTGAGATATTTAAATAGGAAAATTCATATCAAGTGCTTCCTTTTTCATTTTACAATCAATAGATTCTATTTTATAGGCGATAAAAAGTTAACTTGGTTACATTGTGAGAATAGATTATGAACCATAAGGGAAGTAGCGATAATGAAATCAAGTAACCAGTTAAAGGATGTTTATAGATAGAAACGCAAATATAAATTCCACATTAATATTTTCATTAGTTCTCTCATATTATTTGAAATTTTATTAAGAGATTTTTATATAAAGAATCATTTTTACAATATTGTATTTCTTCATCATAAAAATATTATTTTATCGAAACATTTTTTCATTTATATTTTTCCCTATATTAGGAAGCTACATTTATACAAACTTTTTAAATTTTCACATAAGGAAATAATTACAAATAATGTTTAAAAAATTATTTAAAGTGATTCAATATATTAATTTCCCGTAATACTCCCCCAAAAAATTGATATTTAACCTAATTGATGAATTAAATATTTTTCAGCTCCTATCCTATCCTATAAGCATTTCCTGGTTGTTTTAAAATTGAAGACGATGATCAATAACCCCTTGAAAATCATACCAAATAACCACCCCTTTACGGTGAAAGTTTTTGTAAATGATTAAAAAAATCTATATATTAAAATTGCTTCTAAATTATAAACAATTTTTAAAAAAATTAGTCAAATATGGATAATAATAAACTCACCCCCTGTCCTTGAAACCCACCCCTAATTCATAACTTTTCTGAGTTTCGAGCAAATCAAAAAAATAATTTTCACTGATTCTATATTTTTTAAAAATATGAAAATCTATTTCTATAATAATTTTCTAAGTATTGATATTAAATATAAAAACAACCCTGAAGTCAAATAACCACTCCTTAATGATAAAAGTTTTTGTGTATGAATAAAAAAAATTAAATGGATTCTAAGTGCTTCTGAATTGTAAAATAGTATTTCAAAGTTTCACAGACATGGATAATTATATAATAATAAAATCATCTACCTTTAAAACCCAGCCCTAATTTATAACTTATTAGATACTGACTTTAGTTTTCAACAATGAAAAAAATATTTTTCACTAATTATTATCATATTATCATCTACTCAATGCACTCCCACCCACAACGTCGTGGAGGGGATCTTTTTAACTACCATCAGCGCTAAGTAGGCACACAGATGTCACCTAGGTAGAAAATATATTACTCTATCCTAAAAGTTCTTAAAAAAAATTGTAATTTTCATTTTCCTATTAATTTACTAACAGGCACAAAAAGCTAAAAAAGTAATGGGTAATATTGACCCCAACATTTCAAAATTTTGAAAAATGACATCATATTCGTAATCAGAGACCCCGAAAACCCCCGTGTGACAAGTTTCACGCGAATTTAGTGAATTTTTATCATTCTCTGTCGCCATACTGGATTCGCCATTTTGAATTTTTAAAAACTGGCATTATGTTCATAATCAGCGACCCCAAAAACCCCTGAGAAAGAAGTTTCACGCGAATCTGGTGAATTTTTATAATTGTAGGTCGCCATATTGGATCCGCCATTTTGAATTTTTTAAAACTGACATCGGATTCGTACTCAACGACCTTGACAACCCCCGAGTAAAAAGTTTCAGGCAAATCTGATAAATTTTCAATTTATCGTCCGCCATATTGGATCCGACATTTTAAATTTTTGAAAACTGACATCGGATTCGTAATCAACGACCCCGAAAATACCCGAGTAACAAATTTTAGGCGAATTTGGTAGATTTTAAATTGTTTGGTTTTTTGGGGGATAGTTTAAATTAATTATTTTTACTCTGTGGTAAATTTTTGTTATTAATTTTGTTTACAAAGTTTACAATATTTTCAAATATAATTATGTTACTGTGAAAGCCGAAAAATAATTTTTTTCTTAAATTTATACATGTTTTTTAACCCTTTAATGGCCAGTGTTACACATACGTACCACCTACTATTGACAGTATGTAAGAATAATTATGAAATAGGGGTGGGTTCCAAGGGGGTGACCTATATTTGTGTCACTTAGAAACATTTTTTTATAATTTAGATGCATTTAGGACATATATTTTTTTTAAATATTCACAAAAACTATTATCGTCAAGGGGTGGCTATTTGACTTTAAGGGTGGTGTTCAAGTAGTTATTTATAATTATTTTTGAACAGCCAGAGAATATTTATAAATAATTATAAAGCAGACAGGAGCTAAAAACTATTTAATTTATCACTTAGATTAATTATCAATTTTTTTGGGTAGTAATATACGTTAAGGGTGGTTTTAAGGGTTGGAACATATTAAAAAAAATGTTTTTCTTATATTGAATAATAGAATAATCGAATTTACTAAACATTATACATTTATAATAACGGCAAAAAACTCGGCTATTAAAGGGTTAATTTTTGTCATTTTTTGCGTTTTCTTGAAGGGGTGTATTTCAAAAAGGGTAGTTTTTTGGAAAATGACATGAATATGTATTTGTTACTGTTGCTCATTCCTTCAAAATAAGACCTTAGCGGAGTTGATCCGTTAAATTTTAAGAAAGTTATGATTTTTTGAAGTAAGTGGTACGTATGTGTACCACTGGCCATTAAAGGGTTAGTTTTCTATGTCATTTTATAGCAAAAGTCCTGTACAATAAAATAAAAAAATTATATTAAAGCCCCAAAGTCTCACATTAACAATAGTTTTGACCTCATCAAAAAACATCATTATCTAACTATGATGATTACATTCTGATGTCTCTTGATGTGCAGTCACTGCGTTTACTGAAGGCCTTGAGGGGAGATTCACAACTTTATCAAATTGTAAAATGCCTTTCCACAAAATTGAAAAATGTACTAAATTTATTTTTAATAACACCTTAACTTTGTTTTTAATGGAAAATATTATAAACAAATTGATGGCACACTGATGAGTTCCCCATTCCACAATGTTTCCCTGACATTCTGATGGATGATTTCGAATGTGTTTGTCCGAAACACTTTAAAAAATAAACACAATTGTCTTCCATTGTTTTACTATGGATATGTTGTCGACACGATCATTTGCGAAAATAAGGATCATGTTGATTTAGCTATGAACACTTCTAGCTAATAGTAATTTACAATTTGCAACGAACTTCAAATAGACAATGAAATTAATTTCTTAAACGTCACCTTACTTGTTAATGTTATATGTCTCAGAAGGAAACTAAACATAACCCAAATTAAATATATTTAAATTGTCCGGAATTGATGATTCAAACCTGATTTATTCACAGAGCAGAAGGTTCTGATAGTAAGGGACATGTTTTAAGAAAGAGTAACTGTTAAATTGAAGTTAAATTATTAAAGTTTTTATTTGAATCCTATACAATTAGAATCAGAGAGAAAGAGTAGATCCAGGTGTCTTCAGGGACGCTGAAACAGAATTAGAACTTCGTGGGATCAATCGTGAATTTAAATGGGGACAAATTTTTATAGTATTAGTAACTTACCTTTTAAAATTATTTTCAGAGTTGCAGACCCAACAAGCGATATTTCCTTCAGTGTGAGGTCGAAGAAATGACGTTGTCTAGCGAAAACAGAGAGTGCAGTAGATGTCCCTCAAATTGTTTTTGGGCCAGCCAAAGTTCAGGCCCGGAGTCCAGGTGTTGATGTAAATTAGATAAAACACCCCTTAGCCTAGGAGTGACCGAATTATTGATTTCAGGTTGAAGTCGAAGTAATGCAGTCCTTAAAAAATAGAAATATGCCTCGCAGTAGAAATTATCTCCTTGAATGAAGTTGACTAAGACGAGACTCGAAGAATGCACTTGGTGCTTGAAGAGATTTTTTGGACTGGAGTCGAAGAATAAATTCGATGACAGTGCACAACTAGTTAACTTGATCGCGGTTTCTGGACTGACACGAAGAAGACGCGAAGTTGATTCGGTGGTGACTTATGGACTAGTTAAGTTGAAGGCGTTTCCTAGACTGACTAATTCGGCAAGGGTGGCACCTTTCAATGGGTTCCTTTTGCCACTCACTACGTGGGAACCTTTTGCCACTTTGTCATACCACCCACTTCCATCAACTTTAGGTCGATGTAATGAAAATCTTATTACATGTAAGTGGGGAACCAATAGAAGAATTATAAAATACAGATGACCATATTTGGCATCTGCTATCCAGACAAAAAATCCAGAATGAAGATGAGGAATCTCCGCCCCAAAATTATGTAGTAGCTTAAAGCATATTCTACGATAGCTTAATAAAATCCAGTAGCTCTAGACTTCTCACCATTTCACCAACTTCTTAAAAAAAGAAGATAAATCATACCCACTTGTTATCGATTTCGTTTTTGGAATATTCAGTCAAAATTGAGTTAGTAATGGTTCCACACTGGTTAGTGTAATGACATTGATGATAATGACCATAATGATAAGTTAAAGCCCCGAGAAGAAATTCGAACATCTAAATCTAAGATTTCGTGTCGCAAAATCAAAGAAAATTAGTAAGTGTTGACGTGTGCGTGTTTTGAGTAATATGCCTGAAGGGGAATTCAAGTAGGTATATTTGTGGTTGGCGAAGTAGACGAAATTGCAGATTTGGATGGTCTTCAGGAGAGAAGCAATTTTTTGCCACTTTGAATACATCCTTTGGGTGTATATAACTGACGCGAATAGTGAGAGTTCGTGGAGGGCCCCGCCAACTAAGAGTGAGAGTGAAATAGGGGGAGAGAGGGCATATAGTCTCAATATTACCAGAGAAGCATGCTGAGTGAGATATTATACCGGCCGTCACAACCTCTAATAACCACAACCAAGAGAGCCCTTTATAACAGCTCTAGTATCTTATTGTAAGCTCCCTTGTCTTATAGTAATCCGCATATTACAAGTAAGATCTTTACTTGCGTAAAAGGTGCGAGGGCAAATCGAGCCCCTCGGAAATCGGCGTGAAATCGATTCAAGAATCTGGTGGATGAAAGGATTTAA